CACCGTGCATCCCTTCTATTAGCTCTCTGATGCCTCCCACTCTGCTTCCACCACACTGACCTGTTCTTCAGGCACATCCGTGCTCTCACGCTGGGGCCTTTGCACTTGCTGCTGCCTTGGCTGGAATGGTCTTCTCCCGCTTTCACCCATCGTCTGCTCTCTACTCTCTTTAGGTCTCTGCTCACATACTACTTTGTCCATGAGGTTTCCTGATCATTTCACTTAAAACTGCCTCCTTCCCGACTGGCTCCACACTGTCCCTGTCCCCTGTTAATCAGCATATAAAGTACTATAGGTTTTGTAGAAGTTTCAGTTTTTAGTCCATTTTCCACACATGCTAAAATGTAAGTTCAAGATGTTTTGTCTTTTTCTCTAGTGTATTAAAAGCCTTTAAATCTGGGGCTGGGGATTTAGCCTTGTAAGCAGGCAGTCATGAGTTCGATTCCCCGTACCAATTAAAAAAAAAAAAAGCCTTTAAATTCGTTTCTTCTACATAGTGGGCAGTCTGTTGAAAAATCAAAACATTGGGGCTGGGGATTTAGCTCAGTGGCATAAGCGCCTGCCTAGCAAGCAGGTAGTCGTGAGTTCAATCCCTGGTACCGATAAAAAGGAAAAAGACCCCCCCCCCAAAAAAAAAGAAAAAGAAAAATCAAAACATTGAGAGCATTTTAAATACCCATAAGGAGTGTCACTGAGGGACTGAGGATACAGCTAAGTGGCACAGTGCTTGCCTGGCAAGCACAAGTTCGATCTTTGGTACCAAAAAAAAAAAAAAGTGTCATTGAGTTTATTTTGGGAAGGAGGGTGGTGGGGATCCGGAGCAAATGTCTATACTTCTAGGTGTTCGCCTGAGAGCCACCTGTGCCTGTGGGTCTCCTATGTGTGGTGATGGGGCACCTGGAAATAACTGTGCTCTTCCAAAAAACATCAGGAATAAAGAGTGAGCTGAAAATAAAGTAAGAAAATAGATGCTTTTGGCTAAAATCAACATCATCTCACAGCAGATTCTAGCATAGACTGTAGAAAGGCCACACTGACTCCATTTTGTCCCGAATACATTTGGTGTTTGTCCCCAACACATCTGGTCGACAATGTTATGGGAAAAGTGCAGGCCTTGAAACATTACTCCCACCCCAAGGTGAAAACATGAGGCCCTGTAAGGACAAGAAGCAAACAAGTTATATAAGCTAAGCATGTGTGATTTGAGTTTCTTTGTTCCTTATCTCAATAAAAGCTGCTTGCTTAGGCTGGCTGGGGGGCAGCCATTTTGCTGGCCCTTCGTGTATATGAGCCTTTATTTTCCCTTTTCTGGCAGAACTCCAACAATAGACAAGTAATAGAAGTCACCAGGAAGTTTAAGAAAAGTTTTTACCACCTATCTAGTGTTACCCTGGGAGGACACACGGTTCACACTCACCTACCCATCCTCAAGATACTCCCAGTCTGGTGGGGGAGATGATTACACAATATTACCATCAGCCGCCACCAACAAAGCGTATGTAGTGGCCACAAAGGCAGCAGAAGGGAGGACGGATTAAGAATATCGGCAGAGGGGGATGATATCTGAGCTGGGATTTGAAGCATGAATAAATGGGCCCAGGAAAGAAATTTACAATTGAGAAACATGTCACTTATTTATTTATTATTATGGTCTTTTTGAGACAGGGCTTCACTATGCAATTCAGACTGAACTTGAACTCACTCTGTAGCCCATGATGACCTTGAACTCCCAGTGAGCCTCCTACATCAGCCTCCTGCCTGAGTGCTGGGATCACAGGCATGTGCCACCATATCTGACCAAGAAACATGTCACTATTAACTTTTCCTCATTTAGTAGAAATGTCCTTCTATCTGGATTTTAACAGCAAATAGCTTATCCAAGCTTGCAAACTCCTAGCTGCGTAAAGCAGAGTTTGGGACATGAAGGAAAGGCTGAGTGAAAGAGACAGATGACAAAAAATAAAAGAGACCCACGGCTTCGTAAAGGGCAGAGTAGCTATAAGTAGTGGCAAGATCATCACAGATTTAAGGGCAGCCACTTGAGAGAGAGGACAAAGGAGTGGAAAGGGCCGCGGCCTTTGCCTTTGCCTTTGCCTGGAGCGCTCTCTCTCTGGTTCTCCATCTCTCGTGTCTGCTCCTGAAGACAGAGGCACCTTGGCGTAGAAAGATCACCCCTGACATCTGAAGGCCGCCACCGTTGAAGGCTTAACTGTGTGATCTTGCACCCCTCCTCTAACGGCTTGCTTTGCTACAGACTGATAGGGCATTCAAATCCTTCTTCTCCTGCACAGTGAGGACCCTTTCAGCCTCATCCCCCCCACGTCCTCTTCTTACCCCAAATAGCCATGCCCTTCTCTTAGGCCCTCTGCCTTCTACCTCCCCATCTGAAAAATCTCAGTTCCTCTTTGAAGATGCGACTGCTGTCACCACCTCTGTCCTGTGTCCTGGAGTCACCACAACACCTAAACCACACCTGCTCAAATCAACCTTCTCTGTTTCCCAGTGTACCGTGCTCCTGTCTCCCCAGGACCTTTGCGCTTGCTTCCCTGCTTTGACTTCTACTCATTTATCAGAATTCTACTCAAACCTCCTGTTGTAGTCAGGGGTTACAAGGAAAATAATTACATGCAGGATATATAGTTTATAGTATCATCTATAACAGTCACCCCAAGAGTCAAATACCAGAAGTACAGGAAATCTGTCCACACACTAAAGACCCAGAGAGTCCAGCTGAGAGCCTGGATCCCATGGCAATATCCTGCATGAGTTCAGCTAAAGACCTAGAACCCATGAAAATGGCTCCCTCGAGTGCAACTGGAGGCCAAGAGCCCATCCAAGTCTATTTCACAAATCTGCGCTGGGAAGACCCAAAGGTCAGTGGTAGAAGCTAAAATGTCTATGCCAGGGAGATGAAGGAACTGTGCTAGTAGGTTGATAGTTCTGTACTGGATCTAGGAAGTGACACTCAAAATAAGAACAAGGGCTCTCCCCCAAAAAGCCAACCTCAGCGACAATGAGCTCCTCCAGCGATAGCAGCTGAGTTCATATCAGGAAGCCAGCATGACAAGTTTCTTCTGGAGATTAAACAGCAAACATCTTCCCCTCTGGAGCCAGGAAATGATGCTCAAAGTATTGACCAGCACTCCTCCAAAGTGAACCACAGCCATTCAGTGACAAGGTCCCAAGCTCCTCCAATGATAACAGTTGAGTTCATTTCTGGGAAGCCAGCATGACAAGCTCCTCCAAGAGAACCAAAAGCCCCAAACAACAACAACGCTTAGGGGAACCCACAATGGTATATTCTTTCTCTTCTTTTTATGCTGGCAACAGTCCTCAGGTGAACCCTTTACAATCAGCATCATGCTGATTCAGTTCAGCTGGTGTTTAAGCTGACCATTACACCTCCCGTCTCCTGGGAAGCCCTGATGACTCCCTAGGCTAGTTGAGGGGTTACTTACTGTAACAGTTTTAGAACTAATTTTGAATTACTTAATGCCTGCCTTTCCCTGGAAAGAAAGCACAACTAGCTTGCATGAGATACCCAAGGCAGAACATGCACAGAACAGATCTGAAGGAAGTGCTTAGCACTCACCACACTCTCCTGTTTACTGGGCTTATCTCAGCAGTCTGTAAGTGCTTGGAGAACTAGCTCAGGGTCAGCCTCCAGTCCTCTGCACCCCACTTCATGGGAGCTCTAGGGGTTTTCTGAGCTTGGGTGCTGCCATGGTGATGCCCAGAATCTCCTATCATTGAAGACTGGGACACCAGCTGCAGGGAGCAAGGTCCTCACAAAGTCACTCTAGGTGTTACTAATGTGGTGAGTTCTTGTGCTTTCTACTAGAAGAATTAGATAGAAGCACTTTGGCACTGGAAAAAGGCTTTTATTTGTAGTTTTGAACACAAGGAGAAAGGGAGGCAGAAATTTCAGGCTGATCCAAACAAAGATTTACAGCTTTTATGCGCTCTATAGGGTATACAGGAACCCAGTCTCTCCATGTCATCACACACAGAGGTGGAGTTTGGTTACTTCTTTATCATCCCCCTTTGGGTGACTGTCTCATGACCATTTTAAGGCCCTATCTTTATGACTGTAAGTTACTGTAGTGACTGTTCAGTGCATACATTGCCCCTTATCACCTGGAACTTGCCCTTTATCATCTGGGAAAGTTAGTTCCTATTTGGGTTTTGTAACAGGGCAGACAGATCATTCCCCTGCCTCACTGAGTTTGATTTTAAGGAACTCGGTTACTTTGGATCTGGTTTGTTGATGTCTCTAATGACTACCGCCTTTGAAGACTGTGCTGACTTCCCATCCTCCCATCTCCTGGTTGGTATCTTAATTTCAAAGCCTTGAAGACTGTTGTCTTTTTAACTCCCTGGCATGTGTGTTAACACCCTGTGTAAGGGGTAGCTTAGCTGTGGCACAGCTCCTGTTGCACTGGGTGCCAGCCAACTCCACATCCAGATGGGCAGAATGGTCTGGCCTTTCTAGCTCACCTGCGGACTACTGGGATGTGCCATCACATCTGAGTCCACAATTGTCCTTAGGCCTGCAGGAACTCTCTGCCTCTCCCTCTGCCAATTCTGTTCAACTCTGCTCCCTCCTCCATCTCAGATCTGCTTCCTAGGAGTCTCTCCTGTCTCAGGCCCTTGTATTTTCTGAGCAGTTTCATTCATCCAAAATCTAAATGTATCCTTCAGTTATCAAAGCGTTTCTCATCCATTTTTCTATTGCATTCTGTACTGCTTGGGAGGATTAAGAAGGGAGGCTAGCCCCCACTCAATCAACAGGTGGGAAAACTGAGGCCCACAGTGGTGGAGTGACCAGCCATGGTCATGAGGTCACAGTGCATGAGGACATGTACTAATTAGAAGCTGAACTCTCAGATTTTCGACTCCCTCTTCCTACCAAGTCCCAGCGTCCAGGAACAGAAGGGGAGCTTCACCGAATGGAATCCTCGTCCTGGTGACGAGAATCCGGAAATCGGGGCTCAGGGGAGCGGGCAGCGAGGCGGCAGGCGGAGTCCTGCGCTCCCTGAGAACCAAGGCCTGGGGAAACTGAGGTCCGGAGCTCGGCCCTCCGCCGCGCGGGGGACGGGAAGGGGGCGCGTCCTGGCCCTCGGGCCGCCTCCGCCCGCCCCCACGCGGGTCCCGCCTGGTCCTCGGAAGCGCGTCATGGAGGCTGCCGTGGCGGCGGCGTGGCTGCTGCTGTGGGCCTCGGCCTGCGCGCAGCGGGAGCGCGACTTCTACGACTTCAAAGCGGTCAACATCCGGGGCAGGCTGGTGTCGCTGGAGAAGTACCGCGGCTCGGTGAGTGCGCGGCCTGCGGCACGGCGGCACGGCACGGCGCGGGGCGGGGTGGGCTCCCCGGCCGGCCGGCCCCCGCCGCCCCCGCCCGCCCGCCCGCCGGCCCGGCCCGGCCCGGCCCTGCGCTGCGCCCGGCGGCGGCCGCGACGACGTGGCGGGCCCTGCTGCCGGCGGGCCTGGCGCGCCGCGAGCCCCGTTCAGCCCGAACGGAGGAGCTGCTGATGTTGCATCCCAAGAGTGTGCAGGCGGAGGAGGGGGCCAGCCGTTTAAGACGCGCGGGACCCCATCGTGTAGAGAGGGTGGGCCTGTGCGGGTCACCAGCACCGGAAAGCCACGGAACCTGGAGGAGGACCCCCGCCATCTGAGGCCCACTCTCGAGGACTCCTTAGAGGACAGCAGGCTGACATACCGGAGCCCACCAAGCCACTGGCCCCTGCCAGGAGAGAATCCGAGTTCCTAGACTACTGCAGGAAGAAAAGTCTCATTGAATCTTTGAAATAAGACTTTGAAAAAGACTTCATCTTTTAGCAAGATGAAACGGGCCCTTCTAGGCAGTGCAGGGTTCACACCAATCCACAGAAGCACACTGAGGGCCAAAGGGTGGTGGAGTTGTACCAAGAAATACAGAGCCCAGGGCTGAATAGTGCAGCGCAGGGCTGAAGGGGTCAGGAGGGACGGAGGGACCGTGAACACGGCATTCAGTGGCCCGTGTGTGACGCTGTGTGATGAGGACCTCTCCAAGTATGCGTGCCTATATAGACGTGGGGCCCTAGTGAGGAACAGTGGGGAGCTCTGTTAACATGTGGATCCAGCATCAAGATTTGGATATACCACCCAAAAAGTGGCTGTCACTATGCTTTTTCTGGGCACAGGGCCACTTTAAGTGATGAAGTATTCTGTAAACCTTGAAATTAATTCTACTGGGGTCCTGCTGCCCTAATCTCTGCCTTGATCCCACCCAGGATAATGTTTCAAATGAAAAAGCACTTGGTAAGCTGGAAGGTGCTCTTCCCTGTGTTTGGTGGAGCTAAGCAAACCTTAGCTCCCTAAGCCAGGACCCGCATCCAGGACTCAGGGGAAACATCCAGGAAGAGCACATCCCATTCCTATTTAGGCTCCCTCTTCACTCATTCTGCTCACCAGACTGCCCCAGGTTTAGCACCTGATCTGCTGTGCTACTTATTCATTCACTGTGTATTGTTTAGCAACTACTGTGTATTAAGTACAAGGCCAGGTCCTGGGAATACAGTGAAAAAAAGACAGGTTTCCACTTGAGTATAGCTTATATGGAGGAGAGAGACAGTAAACAACTGAGAAATAAAGAACATAATTCTCAATAACAATAGGTGCTAAGAAGTACTATAACAAGGTTTCACAGTTACTAAGAGGTAGAGATAGAATTTGAACCCAAGCTGTCAACTCCAACATCCATGGCCTTAATTGCTAAATTTAGAGGGAAGACAAGGAATAATTATTGCAAGGAAACTATAAATGGTGCTCTGAGTTAACCCAAAGTATGTTTGCGGGTTGGGCAATGAGCTTACTCAATCATCAGCAAACACTGGCTCTACTGCTGCTAAGTTCAGCCCTGGTGACAGCTATAAGGAAGACTAACAGTGACTACTTGGGAGTGTGCTTGCTTTCTGTGTGGGGTTGTGTACCTAAAGACTTGTGTGCGTGCGTGTGTGTGTGTGTGTGTGTGTGTGTGCAAGGGTTGCTACTGTGTATCTGTGCTAATATAGAGACATATATATTAGGCCCTTGACCTCAAAGAATCAGGCTTTTTGGTGTCAGTGATGGAATTGGAAGCAAGATTTCCACCCTTCCAAAAGAGTGGGCCAACACACTTAATGTAAGTTAAAAACAAGCAACCTTTAATACTACCATTCCCCCAGGGAAAAAGGTGGAAGTTAAACGTCCCAGCTGCTCAGCACCCTAGGCAGAATCTGACTTGTACCAACCACAGGTGGGGAGGTTATTCTAACAGCTTATGGCTCCAGGGAATGAGTCCTTCCTCCTTTGGTGGAGGCAACAGGGTGGGGGAGTTACAGCTCAATGACTCATGTCTTTTAGCCCAGTGGCTCTCATTGAAGATTTGCATCCCAGGGAACATTTGGCAGTGTTGGGAAACATTTTCCATTGTCAAGACAGGCATCTAACTGGTAGAGGCCCTGATGCCACCAAACCTCCTACAGTGAACAGCTCCTCCCCCACCTTGCAAAGAGTTATCTGGTCCCTGGTATCAGTAGTGCAGAGATTGAGAAACTCTATCTAGCCTGAGAAGTTGGTGCTTGTAGGGGGCTGGGGTCCCTGGTACCGGTAAAAATGAAAAAAAAAAAAAAAAGTTGGTGCTTGTGCATGTCCCATGTCCCAGGGAGTGGAGCTTCCTTATGGAGCCAGCTAGTTCAATCCCTTCTTTTCTCAAAAAGTGGCGAGGAAGGTGTGGCTGGGCTATCCAGGCACAGGGTAGGGTTTTTTATCCTTTAATGAAATATAGCTAAAGCTACCAACGTGGCATTGGTGCCAAAATTCTAATTGCAGTATTATAATCCACTTCTGCCAGCCAACTTTATATTTATTGCTTAAGCTTTTAATAAAATTAGGGATTAGCCTAGAAATCAAAGAAAATAGTGTTTGCTGGAGGAGAGGGGACAAAAATGGGATTGCTCTGGAGCCCATTTCTTTTGACAAGAAAATCTGTCTGTCCACCCATGCAGGCAGGTGTTTGTGTATGTGTACAAACTTACTCATTCGGCAAACTCTTATACTTACTGAGATTTTTCTACGTGGCAGGACCAGAGATGACATGAACCTAGCTCCTGCCCTCAGTAGATTCCAAAATATGCAGGCAATACTGAGTGATGAGTGCTAGCTGAGACCATAATTGAATCCAGGTTGCTTTTCTAATCTGCATCTCCTCCCCATGTGTGTTGCCCAGAGTGTGCCTCTGTGAGTGTGGTATATGTCTGTGAGAATGTATGTGCTATTGGGTCATGTATGTTTGTATCATGGGACATGTGCACACCCACTAATGTGTATTGTGTACTTATTCTTACAGATGTTCATGTGTATGTGCACATATCTATAAGCCCCTGCAAGCTTGATTTCATATACCTCTGCACTTGTGTTTGTAGATTTGATATGTGAGAGCATTGCACACACATTTACATATATACATAGTATTCTTGTGTATATGAGGGAACATTAATTACTGGGGGATCTACATGTAGGGGGAGCACGTCAGTTCATGTACAACTGTGTACCATTTCATGGGCTTCTTTGATTTGTGTTTTCCATCCAGGTGTCCCTGGTAGTGAACGTGGCTAGCGAATGTGGCTTCACAGACCAGCACTACCAAGCCCTACAGCAGCTGCAGAAGGACTTGGGTCCTCACCATTTCAATGTGCTTGCCTTCCCCTGCAACCAATTTGGCCAACAGGAGCCAGACAGCGACAGGGAGATTGAGAGCTTTGCCCGCCGCACCTACAGTGTCTCTTTCCCCATGTTCAGCAAGGTGGCAGTCATTGGCACTGGAGCTCACCCTGCCTTCAAATACCTGACTGGTAAGTCCCATTGCATCCTCTCCTCAGCTTCCCTCAGCAGACTGAGGCTTTGGCTCCCTGGGCGGAAGAAGCCAAAGACTGGGTGACTCCAGGTCCCTTCCCAAACCCTTTAGGTAGGTTGATGTTTCAGTCTAGCACTAATCTTAGGAGAAGATGGAGGCATGCAGGAGCAAAAGGGGATTTTTGCCTAAGAATATCTCCCCTACACTGCTGCCTCTGAGTTCACCCTTGAAGTCCCTTTTGAGGACTTCTCTGGGGGTTTGGCACCTGGAAGGACCTCAGATCCTCATGTTTTAGTCAGCATAGATTACTTGAGTTTATAGACTTAAGAGGGAGAAGCCAAGGTGCAGACAAGGTATTGTAGATAGCTAAATTAGGACGATGTTAATATGTAGTCAAAGAGGGATTGGGCTATCAAGGAGGTCAGCACGGAAAATAAAGACATCGAAATTATGGCTGGAGGTACATCTGAAAAAGGCCAGGCCTCGTGATGGAGACACAGTGGCTAGGCCTGCATACCTCCCTAAGAGATAAACAGCAACATGAGGTTATTCCATTATTAGGACCACGCAGTCCAGTAAGTCCAGGTAGCTATAAGGTAGGTGAGTCATCAGAACGTCTGGAAATATCCTGCTATCCCTTCCTGACCCTTTCCCAAAAATAGGAATTCTGTTTTTCCTCTATCAGGGGAACACCACATGTTTCCAGTAGGTTGACCAAGGTGGCTGACAGGCATCTCCTATCTTATGTCAGAGGCAAAATCAGTAAGCCATGGAAGGGAAACATGAATTAAAATCCCAGATCTTACTATGTTCAGAAGTGCTCTCAGAAGCCCTAGAGCCACAAAATGGGGTCATGGACTAAGCCTGTATTATGACCTTCTGTCTTTCCTCAGGCCTTTTCCTCTGGGGACTCCATGCTTTTGGTTGCCTTTGTATCCCTCCCAACCACCCCACCCCACAAGCTACCACTTGGTAGAGTAAATAAAAAACAGCAGCAAATCTTACCAAGGCAGGTTTGCATGTCACTCTTAGCTCAATCCTGATGTTTGGGTTTTTTCCTGTGTGATTTTGTTAGTTCTTTCCCTGTTGCCATAGTTATAGGTCAGATGTGGCCTTGTTTCTGAGGTTACTCAGCAAGATCTTAAAGCTGCATGAATCTGAGACCTACTGAAACAGGGCTCAAGAATCTCTTTAAGAACTCCCCCGTGCCATGATTCTAATTCAGTCTGTCCATAGACTAATGTTGGAAATTATTAAGATTGAATTAGAGAGTATAGTCTGTTCAGTAATTCAAGGACATTAATAAAAGAAAATTTGATGCTGCTTTATCAAAGAATCCTAGTGTTCATTCTTAACCTTGATCCCACCTCAGAATCTCCCAGAGAACTTTTGAAGAATACTGCAGTAAAGGCTGACTCATATCCTAGTGGTTTTAACAGTCTGGAGTTTACACCAGGTATCAGATTATACCACTAGTAGAGGAGCAGGAGTGGCTATGGGAATTCTACTTTGTTCTTCTTTCTTTTCCCTAGAGACTTCTGGAAAGGAGCCCACCTGGAACTTCTGGAAGTACCTTGTGGCTCCCGATGGAAAGGTGGTGGGGGCTTGGGACCCAACCGTGGCAGTTGAGGAAATCAGGCCTCATATAGTAGAACTTGTGAGGAAGCTTATCCTGCGGAGGCGAGAAGATTTATAACCACATTCCCTCTTCTCCTGTCCTGTCCATCCCCTCTATCTGTGTATAGATCACTAAACAAACTCAAATGGTGCTTCAGAGGGAGAAACCCATTGAGTCTCTTCCTTTTGCTCTTACCCCTCCTATCCTGTCACTCTTATGGTGGGGTAGGGGGAATAAACCTAAAACTTTTGCTTTTTGAATCAAAGAGAAACCAATAGGCACTTCTGGCCAATGAGAGTTCTTAACAGAGAATCAAAAAAAAAAAAAAAAAAAAAAAAAGAGTCACCAGGCAATAAGAACCTCTACCCAATGAAACACTGCCAATGAGAACGTCTAGCCAATGAAACATGTTGCCAGGAAGAACCTTTAGCCAGTGAAACATGTTTTGCAAGTAGAAGTACATCAAGCTGCAATCTCCTACCCAGCCACGGCTGTCAAATGGGGCTGATTCCTACCTCACAGGGCTGTTGTGAGGATTAAGATGAAACATTTGTGAAAGTTTATAGGCAGTGATAGCCAAATAAGAGGTGTTCAATAAATATTTTTTTGCATATAAGCCAAAAGATAATGTGTGATCAATAAAAACTTGCACCTAACATGAATTTTCAGCCAGTAAAACCTACACCAAATGTTTATTTCTGCTGTGGTTTCCCTCTGTATATTATTTTCTTAATTACAAAAGATGCAACTTCCCGGGGCAGCAGCTCAGTAGTAGGGCACTGTGTCAAGAATGTCAAGAGTTGTGAGGCTCTGGATTTGATCACCACTACTGTAAAGAAAAAAAAAGCAAGTTTCTTGTAAAATTTCCAATAATATAGAAGTGAAAGCCTGACCCTCACTTTTTGTACTCTCAATCCCAAGAGGTAAACTGTCAGCAATTTGGTACCAAGGCTTCCAGGCCTTTTAAAAAATTTTTTATTTTATTTTTTAAATTAAGCCTATCATTATTGTTCTTTGCTGACCAAAAGTATACTACAATGAAAACTAGGCAAAGAATATGAACAGGTAATTCACATAAAAATACATGTGGGCAGTAGGATATGAAAAAATGTTTGGCCTCATTTAAATTGGAAAGATTTTTTAAAATGATAATACCCATTATTAATAAGAATGTGAGGATATGGACATTCACATAAACATTCATAGGATAATAAACCAGAAAAAGGTTTTAGACGGTAATTTGCTATCTTTGAAAATAAAGTGTTCAAACCCTTTGACCCAGTACTTCCCCTTTTGAATATTCCCAAACTGTAAATATACCTATGAACAGTAATAGGCTCGTGTACTTTATATAACTGAAAATTTGAATGTGACTCCTATCCATCAATGTGGATCTGGTAATATATTGAGACAAATCCAAATGATAAGCGGATACCATTGCTAAAATATGCTACTATAGAAAGCTGTCCAAAACTAAAACAGAGCAAGTAGTAAAACAAAGTGAACACATGCACACTCACACTCAGAAATAATGCGAACAAATACATTTTTATTTAAAACTTACATTGTTAAGTGAATGGGGAAGAATATAGGCCAAAATATTAATGATGGTAATAAGACCCATTTTTTTGTTCAAGTATTTCTTTAAAGTTTAAATTTTGTACATAAAATACATATTTTACTCATATAAAGAAGCTGGATACTGAGGTAATGGACAAAGTCAGTAACCAATAATAACTCACACTCCAATATCAGACTCTTCCAAGAAGTCTGGAGACTCAGATTCAGGTTCTAGAGCAAATTGTTCCATGTCTGCTCTTCCCCATTCTCCTCCTGTGAAGCAAAGGGTGAATTACACGTAGAGACTCAGAGTTCTTACAGTCTCCCTCGGTGGTCGTTATCCACTTCTGCCAGGGTAAAGTAAAAGCTGCGGGCTAACACAGCCTGTACTCTGTCCTTGTACACTTACTCCAGGCTCCACCTGTGCATGTGTTCATGCATGGTGTGCATGCACACTAAACACTCACAAAATGAAACCCAGATAGCCGAAATCTTGGTGTTTTTTTGGTGCCAGGGATCGAACTCACGACCTCACGCTTGGCAGGCAGGTGCTTGATATCAGAAATCATGATGAGTATCTCAGAACCACATTCCCCTGAGCTCCCTTCCTCTGTCTGCCCGTTGTCTCCACCATCCATATTTACGCCTTACTTTCTTGTATTCACCAAGGCCATCGCTTAGCCCCTAATGTTGAGCCAGTGGACATCTGTGACCTTACCCCACTGAACCTCCCGAGCATGTCTGATATTGCTGACAGCACTATTCTTGTGACATTCTCTTCCCTTCGCTTTCTTGCCACTGTCTCCTCTTAGTTTGCCTCCATCGCTCTGTGTGCCATGTCCTTTTCAGTGTCAGTACATCTCTCCTCTTCTACCCAGCCCTTCCCTGTTGTCTTCTTTGGGGTTCTAAGCAGATCCCTTTCTCCATATACTTTCCTGCAGCCAACTCAATTTTTTCCTCATGGTTTTCACCATCATCTATCTTCTTGATGACACCCAAGTCTCTTGCCTTGTATCCGCCTTCCTAGTGAGCATCTCTGCTAACACTCAACAGTCCAGAACTAAACACCTGCTGGCCCCTCACTCGGCACCCCCACCCTTGCCTTTTCCACACCATTCACCCGATGGTGCCCTCGCCCCCTCTTTGTTCTCACTGTTGAGCAGCTTTCCTCCCTTCCCTCTCCTCTGCAGTGCCTGTCCCTCCCTGAGCAAGTTAAACTGCATTATGTGGTAAGCATTTCGAGCACCAGCTCCATGCCTGCTCCTGAATAGACTCTTATCTGAAAACCACAGAGGAGCAAACCACTTCCCCAGAAGCTTAGAGTCCACCTGAGGATTTTATATTTCCAGTCAGACTTGCATTCTTACAGACTTTTTTAGCTTTCTGCTAGCTCCAGGTCCCCTCTAACACATGCAAGAGTCCCCTACGAAAAATGTCAATTTAATTTTTTTTTTTTTTTTGAGTCAAGGTCTAATGCCAAGGTGTAGGCTAGCCTCTACTCACTGTGAAGCCCAGGCTGCCTCAAACTCACAACAACCCTCCTACCTCAGCCTCCTGAGTGCTGGGATTATAGCATGTACCACCATGCCCGGCTTCACTTTGGCTTCACTTTAATCTCTTATCAGTTACCATCTTACTCATTGGTTAACCAGTATCTGCTAACATCTTGGTTTTACATTAATCCCTTATCAGTTAATCCTTAAGTAGTTAATGTTTGATTATATACTAGTACCTTAATTATCTCCTAATACCTTGTGTATAAACCAAATACTTGATTAAGTTATTTTATCACTTAATAATTAAGCTACTTACTTATTTTTTTAAATTTCATTTTAAAGGCAACCCATTCAGGACCCCTTCTGTCTCTCTCAGACAGAAGCTTTATTTCTCTTAATAAATATTTCTGCTCTTAAAAAAAAATTCACTTTAAAGGGAAAAAATAAAATTTCAAAATAAGCTAGAGGGTAACAATGGTTAATACGTTGTGTATTGTTATCTTAGTTATTCCGAGTACAAGATATCTGCATTTAATTGTCCAAACAATATTAGCACAAACCTTTTTGATGAACTAAGAATATTATATGTATATAGTTTCAACTCACACTAAAGAGAATATGATGTTTATACATGAGTGATTTATTTCACTGATGAGAGTATGGTCTCTAGGTTAAGCCTTAATTATTAGTCAATATTTTATTATTTGTTTAAATCTTACTACTGATACCTTGGCTATCTGCCATTAGTTTATTGGTCCCGTAATCCTCCTTTATTTGCAGGGAAAGTATTCTACAACCCTCGCAGATACCTGAAACAGAACCCTATTATACTATGCTTTTTCCTATACATACCTACATACATACGTACATATGTACTTGTGATAAAGTTTCATTGTACATTAAGCACTGCAACAATATGGTTTATAAAAGTTATGTGACGCAGCCGGCCCCCACTGCTGTGAGGTAAGTAGCACATGCAGTATGGATAAGTTGGACAAAATAATTTACATCCTGGGCAGGATGCACCATGACAGCTTGAGGTTTCATCCTGCTACTCAGAATGGCAGATTAAAATGTAGTACTGTAGTCAGTTGTTCACCTCTGGAATTTTCCATTAATGTTTTCAGACTGCCATTGCTTAAGGGTAACTGAAACTATTCAAAAGAGAAACTGAAGATGAGGGTATCACTGTAGGCTAGCAAGCCAGAGGTCACCAGGTAGGAATCTGGGGAAGGGTCATTATTGACTACAGATATGATAAAGATCTTTGTCTTTTACTGAGCTCCCCTTGCACCTTTGTGTGGCCAGGTCTTTCAACATCAGCCAGTCCTAAGAGAAAGGGGGAAAGGTTCAGTCTAACTGCTTATTTGCTTCTGGAGTTGGGCTGGAGGGGGAAGGGAGGATGTGACCATGAGGGAACTCCCTGGAGGGACGTTTGTTCATCAAAAAATATTAAGCACTGCATCAGGTTGTGGATATTCCTGGTGCTATGGTGCTTAGAGAATAGCGAGAAAAACAAACTTTAAACAAATTATTATGCCAATTATTTTATATTTCCAGTTTATAATAAGTACCAGAATGCAGATCAGGAAGACAGGAGCATGTATAAAAGTAGTGCTTAACCTATTCTAGGGTTCAGAGGAAATTTCTCTGAGGAATGACATCAAAGCTAAAAGTTGAAATTTTAGTAAGAATTAAAGAAAAAAAGGCAGGGAGATCCTAAGCACATAGTGTCCAGGGCAAAGCCCGAAGGAAAAAGATGGTGAATATGATGGAGCCAGTGCTGCCTGGAGCTAAGTGATAAGAGGGAAGAGCCAGTTCAGGCAAGATCTTGTGATCTAGGTGAGAAAAGACAGAGACCTGATCCAGCATGACACAGCCTGTCCTTGGTATGGGAACACCTTCCTTGTAGTTCCAAATCTGAAGGCCAGAAATGTGGTATGACTGAAAAAAATATATACATGTTTAAATTTTTAAAAAAATGTGGCCAGGGATTTAGCTCAGTGGCATAAGCACCTGCCTGGCAAGCCCGAGGTCATGAGTTTGATACCCGCTACCAAAAAACAAAAAATTTAAAAATAAATCATTACAGTAAAACACAGATTGCTATAAAACACAGACTCCCTTTTGCTCTAAGCACATTCCATTTCTCTTGCCATTTTCTGAAGCACTCCCAAAGTCCTCTTTCATGTCTTTAGTTGCTCTGTTGTGCTTTCTCAATGTCCTGAACAGATTCAAAATGTTTACCTTTCATGAACAGTTTGACTTGGGGAAGAGCCAGAAGTTGGTGCACAAGGTAGATGAAGACACACCATAATGTTTGGAAGAGCCTGCCTTTCTGCTGGATGGCACTAGGAAGCAGTATTTACCATATTTTCTATATATATATATTTTTTTATCGGTACTGGGAATCGAACTCAGGATTGCCTGCTTGCAAGGCAGGCGCTTATGCCGCTGAGCTAAATCCCCAGCCCCCAACAGTATTTACCATATTTTCAATCACACTTGTGAAGACACAAAAGAGAACTTCCAGAACTGCTTCAGAAACTGGCAAGAACAA